TGACTGCATTTTAGGTGATTACAATGTGGAGTTTGAACACATCACACCCACTGGGAAAAACTTGTTTTCCTTTCTTATTTACCCCCAAATCAGGGAGCGCTGTTATGTCTGATAGCTCCTCCTAATGGCCTTTGTTCTCCAATAGTTCAGTGTCCAGGTTGCTGGACGTGCAGGCACCCACCCAATCCCTATTGCTTAGTGATGCCCTATCATCTCTCCTTCATACTCCAAGCTGTTCACTTTTCAACAGTCCAGGGCCTGTCGTGTGCTGTTCCAGGTTCCTGCTCACACACCATCTCATTTAGCCAGTGCAGCACCCTACCAGTGGCAGAGCGCTTATGATCCCTGTTGTGTAGGTGAGGAGGCTGAGGCTCGGGAAGTGAAGTCACTTTCTCCCCACATGTGGAAGAGCCTGGTAGGTTTTCCCAGCAATCCTTCTTCATGTGGTTCCAAATGTTCTACATCCCCGTCTACACAGATATCAGACCTAGCATCTCTCAGTTACAGGTAAATGGTAGATCTGGGAATAAAATCACGTCTCCGGGTCCAAAGCCCACCACCCTCTGCTGCCATGAGCCTCTGGTGAACCCCACCTGCTCTTCAAGTTGGAACCATCTCACCTGGCCCTTTATTAATCTCTTTGTTTTGCATGCATTGCCCTGTCTGGACCATTGGACTCTGACCCTCCTGGGGTCAAAAATCAAGGCTGGTGCCCTGTCTAGAATCTAACACCGAGGCACCTAATAATACAGATCTCCTACAACTCACACCCTGATTTTACCTTCCAGGGAGAGACTTGTGAACCCGCAGTTTGCGTAGCAGCACGTCAGAAATATTGGGCATGACGTCCAGTCCACTCTTCAGCTCTTCTTCCTCAACAGCTGGGGCGAGTTCAGAAGGGAGCCCTAAAAGAAAAAGAAAAAAAAAAGTGCTTAACTTATAGAATGTCTGTCTGAAATCACAGTATACTGTTGGCAATTTGCTTCAGAGGATAAGAAAGAGCTTTAACATTTAGAAGAAACTAATTATATGCCAGGGACTTTCTAATTGCTCTTTTATCCTCACAATGACTCAATAAGCTAAATTTAATCATCTTATTTTATAGATGGGTAAACCAAGACGCAGCAAAGTTAAGAACTTGCTTATGGTCACGGAACTAGTAAACGGCACAGAAAAACTTCAAACCAATTCTATCTGCTCCAAATTCTAGTTCTTCCCATTGTGCCAAGCTGGGTCTCATGTCTGGGGCCAGAGGTTGGTTTCTGGCAAGCTGGTTGTCTATTTGGCTAGAATGTTTACAAAGGTCCCCTTTTTTTGGTAGGCTTCTCAAGAGGCCTATTGCCCAATTATTCTTCCTCAAATGAGTTCAACAGTTCCATCATCTGTGGCCTGCTTAGAAGTCAACATCTGGTTCCATAGCCCCATAGACAGGAATGAAACAGGGTTTGCTTTACCAGGGTAAAGCAAAGATCATTAGGCCTTTTACAGATCTCAGAAGTAGATGCCTCCTAGTCAATAGCCTTTTGTTATCTCCTAAAACTATCTGGGGTCTGTGCTCTGAAGGCAGAAAGAACAAACCAAATATTCTCCTTTCTGTAAATCTTTCTCCAGCTTTTGTACTGCTCATGAAGATTTCCTTCTCCAGGCTCTAGTCCTGTTTTCCCAGTTGCTCATTAGGAACCTACTGTGGCCCATGGCCTCTAGATAGCATCCCCTGCACCCATTCTGGTTGTTGCTGTCCTGGAGGCCCAGACGTGCTCTTAACAAGTTCTTAGCTCTGGAGGACATGGGCACATGTCCCTGCCCTTGGCATTTGTTATTCATGCAGCACAAACTTGCTGTGCCCTACTGTGGCTCACACTACATTTAAGATTAAAAGCCTCCAATCTCTTTTACTTGAGCGAAGTCAGACATCTTCATCCCATACCATGGTTACTTTCCATTTGCATGCAGGGCTTTATAGTTATTCATGTTTTACCCTCTCTCATGGGTTTTGATGCAGCAGATTTCCAACCTGCTCAATCATTTTCCAGAATTGGAGGCCAGGCCAGAGATCAGGACCACATGCATAGATGTAGTAGCCATCCAAATGGAGCTATGACTGGGAGTCATGTGAACTAGAAGCCTCACCAAGGGAGATCATACAGAGAAAAGGGGAGGTATAATTGGCTCAAAGTAAAGAATGCTTAAATACTTAGAGCTTTCCAGTAATAGAATGGTGTACATCAGTTTCCTAATACTCAGAGCATCCCAGCAAAATCTGGAGGGCCATCTGTCAGAGACAGGGTAGTCAGCAGTCCTTCTCTGAATATGAGATTGGACTATATATATTGTCTTAGCTACCTGTCAACTCTTGGGTTCTGTCCTGGCATTTATTGCTCTCTGACATTTCCATATGACAGATGGTAAATCCCGTGGTGCTTCTGGCCTCACTCTACCTTTATATATCCCAAATACCCAGCAGAGAGGTAATTAAGCAGTGGGCTCCTGAGAAGCTATGTGATTGATTAAATTATACAAAGTCTAATATCAAGTGAAAGCCATGCCAGGGTTTTTTTCCCAGAAAAGTGCCCTAGGTTGAGCACTAACACCGCCCCCCCCCCAAAGTAAGTCGTTAGGGCTTCTAGCCCTGCTAAAATGGCTGCCTGAAGAGTGATCATAGAGCTTATGGATCCCAGAGCCAGCCACCCCTTTTTTGAAGTCAACTAAATGAACGTCACATCAATAACAATGACAAAATTTAAAACCAACCAAAAAATATACCAGCAACTCTCACAGATAGGAAAAGGCAATAATCTATAAAAATAACAGCCAGAAAAAGACAAAACTTACTAAGAATAGATGTAGAGCTCCCACCCTTGATAACCCTTTCTTCTTCCCTCAAAGACTCAGTACTGAGAGAAAGATGTGAGAGAAAAAATTTTGACAAAGATTACAATACCACAGAATGGGATGGGAAGTGGACTCAGGGGTTGAGTGAGCAGCCTGCAGAGGAGATTCAGGATGCTTCTCTAGAACAGAAGAATCTCCCTTCCACCATAATAATACTCCAAAAAGAGAAAAACAGCCTACATCGCTATTTGTTTTTCTTGATGAGGAGGAGAGAAGATGAAAGACAGAATGAATGCACAGTAGCCTACCAGAGCTGATTGCATAGAGCAACGTGGAAGAATTTACCAGACAGGAAGACAAAGAGAGAATAAATAAAACAAGCTCCTCTGAGTGAGTGACAGGAGATGCCCGGAAAGCCCCTGTTGAAGCTGCCCCCCACCCGCTTCTGAGAAATAGCATAGTGGCCAAACTCGGTGGATTCCGTCTTCCTTTATCTGACAGGGGAGTAAGAGTGGCTGCTGAGAATAGCTGGGTCAAGTCTGGAAAATAAATACCTGGGTAGGTTGTCTCGATAACTCTACCCTGAATTGGTGAAACAATCCATAACCCGCTAGTCCTCACCCAAGGGAATAAGATAAGCCCGCACTCTGGTATAATAACTTAAGTGTTAGACTATGAACAAAGTTCGAAAAAGAACAGAAACCAATCCCACAAACACCACTGCCAACAGCTCCATCTGAACTTCCCCTTTTCCCACCAAGCTAGTAACAAAGCAGACACAAAACACCCTCAAGTAAGTGCTGCAGGGAGGACAGAGATCTCAGACAAGGTAGAAAGGAGTCAGTGAAAACTGACCTTCACATATCTAGGTAAAGAGAAAATCCAAGTAGACATGCCCATATAAAAAGAAATAAAATAAAAATAAA